GCTGATTGTCAGAGCTACCGGTTCACCCGAACCAGTCCAAACCATTAGAATCCCACCCTACGCTAATGTATTATCACTTAAATTGCATTAATATGCTAATCAAGCTTGCTTTTACAGCAGCAAACTATTGTTTTTCTATAGTGTGCATATATGCAAGCAAAGTCATTCAGACCTTTCTGATGGTTGGACTTTTGTGATATATATATATTTACGAATTAGATTTACAAGTTACTTTTAAAACTTAAATTTCATACATTTTGATATATTATTTCATGAGTTCAGACTTCATGAGTGAAATATCTTAGATTGCCGCATGCCAAGGAATATATTGAAAAGTTATTTGCATAGGTTCCTTGGTGCAGTATTGGTGTGGCAATTTCTATCTGTGGTGAGATATATGGAGGTTTGATTTCTTGTCACCTTGTTTAATGAAGTTTTGTTTCTATTTTTGACTTTTGGTTATGCTTTGAAATTCAGTGCACATCCATTCTTTTTAAATTATTATGCTAAATTCTCACTGTACATGTGTATTTAAGCTCATTGCAACCAAGACTCTTACAGTTTTGTATAAACATGTTGAAATGACATTCTGTAATGTACACTATCTTTAAATAATTGATTTATTACCATATCAATTAGTGTTTTGGTCAAAAGATTAATGTCATAACCTTAAAGCACTATTGTAGGTCAGCTCTGCTGTTGTTCTTAAACCACTTAAATTTCATTAAAGCCAGTTTGCCTTATTTTTGAGTAACTGACATGCACAAGATAATTGATAAAGTAATCTAGCACCTTAGTTGTATAATATAGCACCAGCTTGAGAGTTAAATTGGTATGACAATATACCAACACATTTTGGTCTAGTGGTTAAGGCACCAAGCTATAAAGTAGAAGATTGTGAGTTCTGCCTTAGGCACAATATCCAACTGGCTGATTTTGGCCCAGCATCCTATTTCAGCCTGGCACATCAGGCTCAGGTGGAAGCCATTCTGTCAATTCCTGTCACAACCAGTGGATCAATATTTGGTTGATCTGAAAAAAAACTAGACCTTGCACTTGCAGGAAAATTCTAGGAAGAAAAAAAATACTGGTGGACTGGCAATTTTGTTGGAATCAGAAAATGGGCCATGTGACCAGTCACAAATCTCTTGTCTTTTTTGAGAGAATTTTAATTTTCCTTTAAAAATGTCTGCACATATTGGCCAAATTTACACTTTCCAAATTGGAACTCTGCATATTTGCTGAAAATGAAATAGTGGATGGGTGATTGGTGTTTCGGATATCTGCTATAGGATTATCCAAGGCCACAATAATTTAATTAATTAATGTTAGCACAGATACATACTGTAGCTTCGGGTTGAGTTACTTGATCAAGCACCCATTGATATTAATGGCTATTTAAGAAAATGAGCATTTTTCAGCCTTCCGTTTATGTAAACTTGAAGTTTTGAAACTTTGTAAACTCAAAGAATATTTCCCACATCAATTTGTTTACCAAGCAACCCAGATGTGTCTGCCAGGTAATATGTACATCTGCCAAAAGATGATAAGGTGACAAAATTAGTGGACCAGAGGAATGCCATCGATATAGTTTACTTGGACTTCAGTAANTCTCTCTGTATCTATCTATCTTGCTGCATGTGTACACACACACACACACACACATGCATAATGTGATACTGGTCAATCATTTCAGTTCTTGCATTTGAAACATTACTTCTGTTTTCAATAATAGAATTATAAAAAACACAATTCAATAAGCTGAAATGTAAACGCCTGCACTTTTTACTGACCCACAGAAAAACTTTACTTGCCTGGTATAATAATCTTATTTGTAACCACAAATGCTAGTGGCATTTAGCATTAAAGCTAAAAATACATCTCCAACTCATTCTCTTGTGTTTAGGTATTCAACAGATGAGTGTACCTAGGCAGAATGGGGTTAGTTAAGGACCTACTATGCAATTTGAATATGCCCACAGACACAGCATTATATGTCGCCAGGCCCATTTGTGGAGAGTGCTATATTAATGACACAATATTTGCTTTAGTGGCCACTACATATCCCTGCCAGATTAAACATTTGTAATCTGGATCAGCCTTAATATATCCTTTCAAATGGGCAAGCCACAAAGAGCTATACAGCAACATCAACAGAACGTTCTTCGATCTGTTAGCCTGTCAAAATTGCAGTTACGTCAGAACCAGTAATAGCAAGCACCTCCATGAAGGTATTAATTAAGCTGAAAAAAATTAAAGGATTCCTGACTCTGTACAAATCTTCATCTAATACTTTATAAAGTTTGATGTTTTATTTGTGTGTGTGTATTTTGCTTGATCAAAATTATTCATTTCAAAGCTGCCTGCAACGCAGGATCAGAAAATGAACCAGAGCATGTTTCTTCTCCAACAAAAACATTCACTAAAAGGTTAGTCCTTTGCCCCATCTCTTCATACAGATGCAGGTAAACGAAATACTTTCTGCTTAAAAAGATATTTCCACACTGTAGAGTTATATCAAAGTGGTATCAGGATGCAGTTCTAGGCCTTTCATCATATTTGGATAGTGTTTCTATAGCTAGCTTTATTGCCTGCTACTCCAGAGTAAATTTTAATGAAGATAGCATATTTTTCACCTTTTTCTGCTAGAACTGCAGGGCTGTTTGCTGTTGGGTGAGCGAGGCTTTGTCTTCTCCCTCTGCAAGTCTCTTTGGATCTTCCCTTTCTCTGCAGGAATGAAGGCAAACCTGGTCTTTGCAGTCATTTGTGGTAGAATATTATACCAAGCCTAAAGTCATCTCCTGCCCTCCTTCCCGCTGTTCCCTCTATCCCCACTTCATTTTTTTTGCCAGAAAATAAAGGCAGGGACATAAAGCTGTCCAGCTGGAAGATGTTCTGATCATCTTATAAACAGGTTTGTCCACTGCAACAATGGTAACAATAGGATATTTCAGGGTGGGCTTCAAAAATTTTAGTAAGGGGTTCTCTGCTAGATGGGCATGGCCATAGTGGGTGTTGCCTAGTTGGCCTCCTGCACCACCGCAGGTGGAGAAATTTTGCCTTCCTCAGGCTCTGGAGGCTTTTCTCGAGCCTCCAGGAGGGCAAAAACAGCCTCCCCAGGCTCTGGAGGCCCTCTGGAGGCCAGAAACAGGCCCGTTTCCAGCCTTCCCATACTTCCGGTAGGTCCGTTTTTCACCCACCTTGAGCCTCCGTGGGCGCCCTGCACTTACATGCATCAAAAACAGGCTGTTGGAGACTCCTGGGAGGGGTGGAGGCAGAGTGAGTCCAGGAGTCAGATTTTGGGGTTCTCCAAACTGCACAGAATCTTAGCTAGAGGTTCCCTCAACCCCTATGAACCCCTAGTAGCCCAACCCTGGTTCGATGGGGCACAGGACTGGCATGGAAGGTTTAAAGGGGAAGTGGAGTAAATCCAGTTTCTATATGAAAGTGCCATGAGTATATCAAATAGGATTGACAACACATGGAAAAATTACTATTAAAAGACAAATATTTGTCTTTCCTACTTGCATCCTGGTGATATACATAACTTTCCAATTCAGGCATTATAATAACATGGACTGTTTCGGATACAGTTATATAATGCTTGTACTTACCAAATTGTATTTCATAATTATGACGGGGTTAATATTTCTGGGGTGTAAAACTCTAGATGATTTCCAGATGGCAGCAAAGACTATGTCCCCACCTTGTGGTGACCTTTATATTTGCAACTAAAGTATGGAGTCTTGGATTGTGCAGAGTCCATAGTACTGAATCTCTGCTTGTGAGATCCCAGTTGAGATGGGTGGGACAGAACGGATGACTGCCGTATGCCGAGCCAGCTGGTCTATAGTGTACTGGAGTCTGGAAAGAGACCTCAAGGTCAACCACGAAGTACTACAAAGATGCCGTGAAAGAAACTTTACGCCACTGTGACATCAAGCCAAGGAAATGAGAAGCTGCAGCTGCTGACAATCTCCGCTGGCGAGCCCTGTGCTATGAAGACTCCACTGGCTTTGAAGACGAGCGCTGTCAAAAATTGGTAGAGAACCATGAGTGGCGTCAGAGAATAGTAACACACAGTTACTACAACAATGGACTTCCAGTGCTCCCATTGTGCTAGACTTTGTGCTTCCAGACTGTATAACACTGTGTCTTCTTTGAACCCAAAGGACTATCATATTTATGGTAGCCAAAGTTTATAGAAATCAGATGCTATTTATTTAAATCATTGCAAATAAAAGTATGTTGATTTGGTTTGGCTTTAACCCTAAGTTCCTGTTCTCAAATTGGAAACACAGCTTCAGCGTTTCATAGTCTATCATGACTGGCATAATAATTAACTCCTCCTGTCATAAATTGATAATTATTAATAGAAATATAATTAATTAATAATAAAGCTGCAAAGTTCCCTGCGGTGGAAATAACTTCTTATATGTAGTCAAAGTTAATTACCCTTTCTTGGAGTAGAAAAATATTCCCCATATTGTATGTGTGCTGGCTTGTAACCAAATGTGTATGTGTGGAGACATCCAGCCGTCCAGTAGTGCTTTCCCATCTGTTTCTCTTCAGAGAAGTCTTCTGCATCTTCCAAGAAAGTTTCTCTAGAGGAATGAGAATCCTTGTAGAAAGTCTAGTACAATGTACTATCTTACAGTTGCTGTGATGGTAGGAAAGTTTAAGATATTGGATGTTTGAGAATTCAGATGCAAATTGATTTGGTTCAGAATAGATTCAAATCTATTGGATTTACTGTGAATCAATCCAGTTTCAACTCAAGCTGATATCATATGTATGATCATATATAATTTGAAATAAAACACATTCACAAATATTTTAGTTCTGATAGTAGAGTGTTCAGCGCAGTTCTCACCTCTGGTGTTAGGGTGTTCCACAGGGTTTGGTACAGGGTTTGGCACAAGTGGGGGCAGGCTANAAAAACACACACAAATATAACAAAGGCAACAGTAAAAATATTGGGTTTCTGTCGTGATGGACTCTTGTGACGAGCCGATTGACAGATGATGGAAGCAGTTAGCTTCCTCCCATAATTGGGGCTTACCAGGGGTACTCCTTCTAGTACTCCTTCTAGTACTTAGAAAGGATTATAACCTATTCCACAAACTAAAATCATACTGGAATGGAGAGTTTTGTCCCCATGGCAGGACGAGTCCCTCACTACATCACTCTCAGTGATGAGAGGTCAACAGGTTATAAGGTTTACTTGTAATGTTAGAAAACTATTTCTTGACTATCTTTTTGCCAATGAGTTATGAAATATTGTTAGTGGAACAGTATGTTGCTGTGGGTACGGCCCTGTACAGGAGAAGCTAAGAGCGTACCAGTACAGTAGCTCGTTTGGCCCTCTCACCCGCCTGCCCTCTATAGCTGACTTTTATGGGAAATGGCAAAGTGAGCACGCATGCACAGCATGCAGCCCCTCACGAGCCTCAACAAGCAGCTGGTTGTCGCAGGGGCGGTAGATTGCGAATGAATGCGCAGCACATGTCAGGCACATGCACAGCGCATGTTTGGCTCGTGCACGAACAGACCGCAAGCAGCGTACCGGTAGCAATGGTAAGAGCTACTCATCACTGGTATGTACACCACAGAAGCTCAGTTCTACAGTATAATTGCTCTCCAGTCACTATTTTAGTGCTGGTTTAGTTTTGGTTACTATAAAGCAAACTAATATTCCTTTCCCATTAAGAAGCAAGATCTCTGACTCTAAATTAATGTTAGCTTATATATGAATAGAAGAGTGCATTATTATTACAGTCCGGCCTGTGTTGAACATCCAGGTAATAATAAACCTGATGCTGTTTAAAACATATCTAACTTTATCAAAACTAAACAATTCACTGTCTGATACTATTGCACATCCTCTAATGAACCTGGGATCCACATTAGCATGGCAGCATCCATCTGCTCCACTCTACCTACAAAGAATATCATTGATAAGAGTCAAGTAGTTCACAATGCAAAACCCAGAAACAACAGGGGCCTCAAGTATCACAAACAGGAAGAAGAGTGTTTGGGACCCTCTGATGATAACCACATTGCTTTGATTTAGGACTTTGTTCAACTATAGCAACATAATTACGGTAAGTATATTTCTAAGTACTAAACTGTTAGTCTGTTAGTCCACAGAACTATTAGTCCACAGAATTTTGCCACAATTGCACATATATTTTGAAGTAAAGGAAAATGTTTGGACTTTTTTGCTCAGTAGATACTTCTATTACTATTAGAGAATAAAGCTGTACAAATATACACCATTATAATTTCAGTATTTTTTTCTTCTGTTAAATTTTCTAGAGAACGTCATGTTTTTTTTTATAAAATTACAGTTGGTTGGACATATTTTAAAAAATATCATAACTTTGCTCATTCTAAATAGTGATACAAATAAATATCCCATATTTAAATTATTCTACCAATTTGAGTTAAACTTTTCAATTTGTAACCAGGATATATTTTGTTTCTCATTTTTGTAAAACACATACATATGCACACAAGTAAAACTCAAAGGATTAGATATAATAATCTAGAGTTCATCCTGTGCCCAGGCCTATAAATATAAAATATTTAAAGATACATTCCCTTAAGGTCTTTAAGGGTCTAAGCTTAATCACTTTAATTCCTATTCAAATTTTCCTTATCTTTGTTGTTTAAGGCACACTATTAATCTGTAGCTATTAGTGGTCCAAAAGAGTAACTTTGTCACTTAAAGGAAAATTTTTAAATATACATTATATCCTTAAAAACTAATCTTCATATTATTACATAAAGTCCATAATAATATTAATGAATCAATACATTATATACAATATATGCAAATTTAAATATACAAGATTTTGTTACACATGCATTTCATTAGAACAATTGTACCATTTATTTAAACCAATATAAGTAGTTTGATGTCACTCCGGGAAAGCAAAGATTGTTAGTGCATGATCCTCCATAACTGGGCGGGCAAGCAGAACATGGCACCCCAACTTTATACGGTGCTTCTCCTATCCAATTTCCCCTAAGAAGGGAAAAAAACAATAATGTACTTAGTATGCTGAATATTTCATAACACACTTTATTGAATAACATAAAATATACTTTTTCCAAATGTTATCTGCCCAGCAGAGACTATTATACAAATACTCTTAGATGCAGAATCTACCTTTATCCAAGATGTTTAATTCACTTACATTTTTAGCCCCAATTCCTATGGACATAGGACTAGATAGTTAATTGTAGAACCAGAAAAATCTCATGAGAATACAAGTTACAATATGAATAGACTGAGGTAGATCCCTCCTATGTTGAGCTGATTTAAGAAATAAAATTTAGGGGTTGTAGATTGTTTATAATCAAATCACATGTTCTTAAAATTCAATGCTTTTTGCTACCAATTTTCAAAAAATGCTACGTATTTGCCACTGACAATTCTTTGCCCCTTTTGCTACTGTCATTTAAAAACATGATATGAGGTTTAACAACAGGAAATTCTTATATTTCTTTGAAATATGGAATTATAGCTGCCCTGATTTACTTTTATGGAATGCCAACATACAATGATGGCTTGGGTGCTGAGACAATATGCAACAATAGATTAAATAAAAACAGAGAAACTTACTTTGGGGCATAGTTGCATACCAAATAAATAGCTCGGCTCCAAACTACTCCCCAGACATTCATATTAGGGCACGTGTGGATTGCACAGCCTATTCTGTTGGAAGTGGCCCAAACCATCTAAAGAAATAGTATGATTTGTTTGTTAAAAGTCCAGCCTGAAAAGCAACATACTTATCACACAGACATAAGCTTTGAACTGAAGAATGGTACAGGAAAACTGAACCGATATCACCTGAGTATAATGTGTACACATGGGCCCGTAACATCTCATTGGACACCTTGGATTGCAATCCTGAGGATATGGAAAGGCATAATCTTTCACTTCATCATACCAGGGCTGCACCAGCTGGAGAATGGATCGATATCTGAGCAAAATTAAACAAGACAAATTGATATTTTTGAATGTTCAGTATTACTAATGTGCCTAAATCATATATTATATGTAGACATGTATGTATTATTTATTTATTTTTGTAAATTACTTCATTCTCATACACTTGCAAGATAAAAGATGCTTGAAAATTAGTGGCTTGAAACAAATATATATGAAATTTAATTACCTTCCAGTCCGTACAGACAAATTTTGTCCCAGAAATCTCAACAAGTAAGAAGGCCCATGGTCCCAAATACAGGTAGCTGCCCAAGCTTCTGCAGATTTAGCTAGATTATCATCCCACACCTGGCAAAATATAATATTTTTTTATTTATCCTAAATACTGAAAAGGAGTTCAGAAATATGAAGTGGATTGAATAATATAACGATCAAATTATGCTATTGAACACTTGTTGACAGACTACCCAAAAACCTAATTAGTCAGTTCTTCCATGTTTCTTTCTCCAGTGTGATGAACTGATCAAACATTATGAAGATGACTTGGCTGAGCTTCAATTCTAGGCAATTTATTAGAAAGTTACACTTTTGAAGACAGTTTATTCAATTTTATTCCATCCATCTTTCAAACTGCACACAAGCTGCATACTTCTCTGTGTGAAAGCAATTGACTAGTCCAATTCATACAAGAAACATGCCTATTGAGTGTTTTCTACCTTCTAGTTTCTCTACATCAGCAACATTAACTTCAAATAAACTTAAATGAAGAACTATTTACATTGAGCACAAACTCACAACTTCTGCCCAGTTAACAAGTCATCTTTCTTCCAAGCTTTGGCATAGTATCCTAACAATCCTTGACTGACTTAAGAAATTTCTAATCAAACATGGATTTTGAAGATTATGTATTTCTATCAACCTTGTAATGGTGAGAAAGAACTGGATGCTTGAAGCATACAAAACTTGGAGAAAGACCTATGATCTTATGGAAGTATTAAACAGGACAACAATGTACAGTATCTGCCCTTACTGTTCATCCTGAAGAATTCTCATAGGAAGCATTAAAACATCTGGTGTAGTTCTTGAAATAAACATTGTTACTCTTTATGCTTCACTGTAAAAATTCCACTGTTAGGTAACAGCGGTTCAGCTGCTCCAGAAAATGGGTCATTGGGCTAGGATCATTTTTTCTATATGAACCAACATTCTTACTGATTCACAGTTCCATTTATGGCAAATATGTTACAAAAAAGAATGTGTGGGCTTAAGTTGGTTTGGAAATACTACCCCTTCTAGTATGAAACTTTCATATTCAAAAAGTTTGCAATAGTTATCCTTGATTCTTTTACTACTGTTCCTACTTTACATAGAGAAAAACAAAATTCAGAAATAGATGTTTACAGCCACCCAATGAGTGTTTGCTCATGAGGCTAATATAATTGGATCTTCATCTCCTTTGTTCTATATGCCAATTTTAATGGGTCTTATCTGTTCTACTCAGCTTATTGTTTTCTTCATACAGATAATTGCATTTAATGAACTAAACCCAACAAAATATAAATTATTTCCCCAATAATTTTTTTGTAAAATAAAGTTTAATTTGATTTTTGAGAAAAAAGCTATTTTTGGAAATGATTACTTTAAAAAAAACCTTCAGACAAAACAACACTTTAAATAAAATTTAATCTGGGAACAATATCTTGAATTTAAATTACACTGAAATCTATTAATTTTATGTTTAAGTGCATTTAGACTTAATTTAAATGAAGTCAAAATGTTTCCTAAATGAATCAATAATAAATAATTATAAAGAAACAAAGTTAGCCAACTGATTATTTATGTATCATATCCCTGGCTTTATCAGTTGCAATTTCACATTAATCAAATTAAGAAATTCAGAGATTATTATCCAAATGAAGGGATCTCCTTAAATCATAGAGTTCAATAATTGCCCAGAACAAGTTAAATCATCGCAGAAAGACAGAGTCTGTGTCAACCCATCCAGGGAATGGGACCAATCTCTTCTCTGGATAATTGTTTCTACTGTCAATTTTGTTTCTAATTTGTAAATACAATGTACCTTTGTGCAATATGAATTCATGTGTCTGCATTAATCACTGTTAAAAAGACAGAACTAGTTGTTCTGTGTGATATCCCTTTAAGTATTTGAAACATGCTGTCATATCCTCTTTTCCTTTATTTGTTTATTTGTTTCCTGTATTTATTATCTTTTACAGATAACTCAAGAAAGCGAACATATCCAACACACTTTCCTTCTCTTATTTTCTTTACAACAATCCCTTGGGATGAGTTGGGCTGAGAGAGAATGACTGGCCCAAAATCACCCATATAGCTTTCATGCCTAAAACAGGACTAGAACTCATCATTCCCTGGTTTTTAGCCTTTTGCCTTAGGGATTTGATCAAACTGGCTTCCTTAATCTCTGTCATGGTGAAATTTCTTTGATCTACCCGTTTGATCTCCCTTAATAGAAACTGAGTTTCTAATTCTCTGATCATCCATGTTTTCCAACACTCAATCTATTTTAATTTCTCAGAATCCTTCAATTATGATACCTACAAACCAGCATAGTACTTTATACAGATTTTCACCAATGCATAATAAAAGGTAAACATTTCTTGTGATAGAAGCACTGTTTTTTCATATAATCCTCGTATTACATGTTGATTTCTGCATGAAGCTATAAAAAACATAAGCACAAATGAAATGAACATCTAATTCGCTAACATTGGCACTCTTTCTCCTGCTGTACCTCAGGGTCCTCAGGTTTTACATCCAATTTTCACAGTTAGTTAGTTTCCCTATTCTTTATTGCTGAAGAGGTATCTACCCCATGAACATTTTTTTTGCACTTAGTCTTGTCAATATATACTGTGGTTGTAGGAAAAATAAAATAGATTCCATAGGCCTGGAGTTTCTTGTTATAATAAAGACTTTCTAGATAATTCAGAACAAAGACAAAGAAAATTTGAGGGCACTTTCTGCTTGATTGTCTTCTTAATTGATTGTCTCCTTGATAGTTCCTTGATTACAGTATTATTTGTCTCCTTCATTGTTTGTCTAGGGTTAATTCCTATTTATCTGGGTGTTGGCTACTGGAGAGGTGGTGTTCTGGTCTTTTTGTTTTGTTCTCAGTTTTTATATTGTCTCTTTTGCATGGTATGTAAATATAGTTTAACTTTACATCTCTATTGATGTTTTGAGAGTCAAGCTTTCAGGAATTCCTTGGTGTTTAGATTTAATTTGGTCTAGGATACCCACAGTTTCCCAGTTGAAATTATAGTTGAGTCTGTCCATGTCTTGTGAAATTAAGGTGTTTTCATGGGGTCTTCTAATTGCTAGTAGGTGTTCATGGATGCACTCTACTAGTCTTCTGTATGGTCTACATTGTGGATGTTGCAATTCTTGTACTGAATATTGTAGATGATTCTTGTTGATTCTTCTACTTCTTCTTGGGTTACTGGGTCTTTTGAATTATGTAAGATGTTTTGTAGAGTTTTAATTAGCTGGCATGCTAAAGTGAAGCCATCTGGACTTAAGAGTCTGTTGGATGTTTCTAAGATAATTATAATGTATGGTTGGAGTTATCCCTTGCATGGCTTGTGTTGGTTGTTCTATAGTTGGTTGAGTGGGTTGAGTTGAGTGGTCAGGCATTTTTTTTGATAAAGTTGTAGGGATATCTATTTTGTTGGAAGATATTGTACAAGTGGTCAGTTTTCTTTTTCTGATTTTTCAGGGTTGCTGCACTGTGCTTGTGCTCATCTGAATAATGTTTCCACAACTCCTCTTATGGGATGTTAGTTATTAATTTAGTAGTGAAGCACTTATTTCTCAAACTGGTGTGTGATCTTTCATTGTTAACACATTTCTTGGCTTGAGTGACTTTAATATTTTCAATACAATTTTAGCTCTGCCTTGGATCTATTCTTGCAGAGAAAGTCACTATGTGGATTGTATTATTTGGTTTGTGTATATCAAGGGAGTGGGTGAATTTTTAAATGGAATTGTCTATATATATACAGATGTTGATAAATTATTAAAGCTTCACAGGGACAAATCTGATTTTTAGAAATATGCACATTTACATAGATTCTACTCCTGTATATTGAAGAAGTTACTAGTTACTATATGCCCATACTTACTTTGGAAACTGTTTTTCTAAAGTTCTGACTCAAAATAAAAACTAAATATAAGATTTAGATATATAAATATAAATATAAGATTCTCACCATGATCTTCTTTTGTTTCTTGGCTGTGATTGTTAATTGAGATCCTATTTTCCTTAAGAAAAGACCAGCTTGAGCAAATCAAAGTCTATCCGGACCCTTAACACTCTCCCAGCCTTCCAAAAAGCTACCAAAACCTGGCTGTTCTGGCAGGCTTGGGACTGTTGATAAATGTCCAGCCCCACCTAGACAGAATGGATGGTGTGTAATTTTAATAATTGTATTTTTATTCTTAATTTTTAAATGTTTTTTATCTTGTTTCTGTAAGCCACCCAGAGTCCTATGGGATTGGGCGGCATACAAATTTTATTAAATTTCAAATTTCTGTAATCTAGCAATTTGTTTCCATTTTTTCACTATGCAGTATTTATGCATTTTTATCACTGTGTTTTACTTTCTCCTGGAATATTTTGATTTTTTGTTTTAATAGTACTACATTTATGTATCATTTACCTGTTATCAAGTGGGATATGAGAAATATAAGAACTCCAAATAGAGTGGGTGAAACATGCCTGGGAAATCAGTGTGAATCTTTTTTAAAAAAAATTCTTGAAAACAAGTAGGTTGACCAATTTTTATTTGTAAGAAATAATGGCGCCTTTTTCTGAATGCAGTGAAGCTGATTGTTAGAGGTTTGGCTAAAGAATAAGCAATTAACTTACTAGTCTGTTCCATTTATTCTTATTGAATGTGGTGCTATAAAAATGATGGATGAAGTACTCAATGTTTTGAATTACACTAGGACTCAGAGAATGGAGCAGGCTAGAAGTGTGAATAAATCATATTCATCAACAACAGCTGCAGGAAACATTTAGCACTATGGGGACCAAATGGTAAAACTAAGGATCTTTTCACCCGCATCATCCATCTACTGTCCAAAATGGTGTAATTGGACTGATCAGCAGTGGCCTAATTTGATATGAAGGCAGTGCTTTAGGTCACTGAAATTCAAGGCTTCTTCTCAATTTTCTTCCCCACCATGCAGTTATATATAAAAGAAAGACTCGTGTTTAAAAACCCCAGTGTTTGTCTTTTTGGCACTTTGATATTAATTTTGTACCATTCGAAGCTAATTTAGACTGAAAATTAGAACCTAAAGTA